GTGCTAAGTTAGGTCCAGGGTCATCATTGGTGGGGTCCAGAGTGCTCTTTGACAGAAGTGAACTATAAATCCCAGTATCTACAATGGCTATAAATCAAGGTGAATTCCCCAAATCTCTCCAGTATTTTTCTTTGGTCATGGGGATTCTGTGTGCCAAATGTGGTCCAGGCCCATTGTCAGTGGGGGATATGGTGCTCTGACTTGACGTAGGGTGAACTACAACTTCCATCTTGTGGAGTCAATCCCCCAAATTCCTCCAGGATGTTATTTGGTGATTAGCTCTGTGTTGTTTGTTGTGCAGGCAGAGTTGAAAAGAGGAGGAAAGGGTTAAGGGAGAGGCAGTGTGTGAGATCATGCACATTCCACACCAATGGAGAGAGTAAGGAACACTGGGATATCTGTGGTGGAGGGAACACATAAAATCTAGGAGGAAATGGTCCCCAAATTTCTTGGGTGGTGGGCAGGATGGTGTTTGGGGAGAACACTGGTAAGGGTTAGGCTACATGTTCACAGCAGCGCTCGCTATAACCTGAAATGCCATTGGAGGGGAAGGCCTTTGGTGGCTCCTTGGCACTGTGAGTTAAAGCTATTAGTGGAAGTGGGAGCTTGTCTGTGGAAGTGGGCACCCCAGCCACAGACACACATACATATTTTCATTTGTATTATGTGTATAGATATAGATGTGTCCATTCAATTATACCCCCCTAATTAATGGGTGTCATCACCCACTTCCCCCTCATATGCCAATAACATGTTTTTCTCTTATCGAATACCAAATACCTTGATTCGCAAGGCTTCTCTTGCTGAATAGCTGCCAAACTGCACTGATTCCCCCTCTTCCCTGCTTCCTATCCCAGCATATCCCACACTCCTTGTTCTAAAACCCAGGCATTGTCATGCAAGGCTCGTAGCTAATAATCATACCTTTCTATCCTCTTCAAAACCCAAGCATGGCAAGACTGCCTTTTAGTCAGAGAGACTCAGCAAACCCCAAGCCTTCAAGGACTTCAAACAAATAAAAATATAGGCAGCAAAAGCTTAGAATAAGAAAAATGTTCTTAGGAAACCATTTCCTCATTGAAGAGGAAGCAATATGTATTTTTGAAAGATAATCTGTCAGCCTGGCGTTGTGGTTTGAGTGTTGAGATGGCTCTGGAGACCAGAGTTTGAATTCCCTCTCGGCCATGAAAACCCACTGCATGACCTTGGGCAAGTCACACACTCTCAGCACCAGAAAACCCTATAACTGTGTTTCTCAACCTGGGGGTTAGGACCCCTGGGAGGAGGGTCATGCAGGGGGTTTCAGAGGGGTCACCAAAGACCATAAGAAAACATATACTTTATCTTAGGAACTCCTTTGGCAGAGAAGGCTGAAGATCTTTCCACCTGCCCTTCTCTTCCTTTTTTGAAACAGACGGCAAATCCTCCTACCTAAAGCCCTTCTCCTGCTTTCTGGATGTAGGTGAACTAACACTCCAAAGCTCAAGGTCAATGCCCACCAAACCCTTCCATTATTTTCGGCTGGTCATGGGAGTTCTGTGTTCCAAGTTTGGTTGAATTCCATTGTTGGTGGAGTTCAGAATGCTCTTTGCTTGTAGGTGAACTATAAATCCCAGCAACTACAACTCCCAAATGGCAAGGTCTATTTTCCCCAAACTCCACCAGTGTTCACATTTGGGCATATTGAGTATTCATGCCAAGTTTGGTCCAGATCCATCATTGCTAGCGTCCACAGTGCTCTCTGGATGTAGGTGAACTACAACTCCAAAACTCAAGGTCAATACCCACCAAACCTTTCCAGTATTTTCTGTTGGTCACAGGAGTTTGGTTATTTATTTATTTATTTACAGTATTTGTATACTGCTTTTCTCATTTATTTATTTACAGTATTTGTATACTGCTTTTCTCATTTATTTATTTACAGCATTTGTATACTGCTTTTTTCATTTCTTCATATACAGTATTTGTATACTGCTTTTCTCATTTATTTATTTACAGTATACAAATACTGTAAATAAATAAATAAATAACCAAACTTGGCACACAGAACTCCTGTGACCAACAGAAAATACTGGAAAGGTTTGGTGGGCATTGACCTTGAGTTTTGGAGTTGTAGTTCATCTACATCCAGGGAGCACTGTGGACTCAAGCAGTTAAATTCCATCATTGATGGAGTTCAGAATGCGCTTTGATTGTAGGTGAACTGTACATCCCAGAAACTACAACTCCCAAAGGACAAAATCAACCCCACCAGTATTGAAATTTGGGCATTTCGGGTATTTGTGCCAAATTTGGACCAGTGAATGAAAATACATCCTGCATATCAGATATTTACATTTTTGATTCATAACAGTAGCAAAATTACAGTCATGAAGTAGCAACAAAAATAATGTTATGGTTGGGGGTCATCACAACATGCAGAAATGTATTAAGGAGTCGCGGCATTCAGAAAGTTGAGAAATACTGGACTATTGGATCAGCTGGTCAGATTCGCTGATGACATCAAATTGGGAGGGATAGCAAATACCCCGTAAAATAGAATCCAGATCCTAAAAGACCTCAACAGATGAAAGAGCTGGGTCTCCTTGTGATTAAATATATTTATTTAGCATTGTACTGCAAGTCTTATACTTCTCCATCGTGACAGCTGAACTGTGGCCTGTTTTCCCCCATGAGTTAAAGCGCACATTTCTCTCTGTGTGTAATGTAAGGTTCCAGTGCCCTTCTGCCTAGATTCCTCTCCCTCTTGCCCTCCTTTCCATCTTAACATCTGAGGCTGACTCAAATGGCTGTTGCTTGCTTGCTGCAGCTTTCTAGCTCGCCTCCCATGGAAGAGAAGGATGCAGCCCCAATGAGGTCATTGGGGCCTCTCCATTGAACTGCCTTTGTGTGCCTGGTTTCACCTCTCCGCCTCTGCCCTGAGTCTCCTTCCTCTCCCACTGACTTCTAAGCAATTTCCTTGAATTGTGTTTGGGGTTCACAACAAAAGGGGAGGGATTTAGGGTGAAGGGAGTCATAATAGCTAGGGATAAAAGTCTTCACTGTCTTCAAAGTCACCTTGTAATGGAAAATGTAGTTTTGGAATAGGGCAAACTGGAGCCCCAAAAATAACATCCTTAAGTTTTGCTCTTATCCCACACTTCTGTATACTTAAAGCAGAAAGGATGACCTTTCTGCTTTGTTGCCTTCAAAGAATTTCTCATAGGGCAGTGGTTCTTAACCTTCCTAATGCCGCGACCCCTTAATACAGTTCATGTTTTGGTGACCCCCAACCATATAATTATTTTTGTTGCTACTCCATAACTGTCATTTTGCTACTGTTATGAATGGATTGCTACTGTTTTCTGATGGTCTCTGGCGACCACTCAGACATCCCTCGCAACCCCCCCAGGGATCCCGACCCCCAGGTTGAGAAACACCACAATAGTCCGTTGTTCAAGTCATTGATACAGATGTTAAATAGCACTGAAGCCAGTACAGAGCCTTGGCATGGCCAGGTAGGACAATTATACATTCTACTCTGAAACATCCAAAACTGTTGCTAGTTCATGTTTTGTGTACAACAAACTGCCTGAACATTGTGGATAGCCGTGCTGGTTACAGAACTGTTGTCTCACACATTTGGTGAATGCCAAGTCCATAAGCAAGATGGAGAAATGCTCTAAACTGACCCACTGCAATTTTTTTTGGTTTAAGGCCTAATGAAATATGACTGTTTGGTTGATTGTGTTGCAATTTCTTCTGTTCCTTATGCATTGACTACTTGCAATTATATGCAAGAGCAAGACTTTGAAGGTTGCGATTAACGTGGGCTGGAATATGTGTGGCCCTTCAGGTGCTATTGCAGCGCAACTCCCATGAGCTGCAAATTGAAGTCCAGGAATATCCAGAGGGATAAACTTTTCAAAGCACTAAGTTGCCCCCCCCCCCCCCATAGCTTCTGCTGTGTGAAATCAATCAATAATCAATGTGTTGTCAAAGGCTTTCATGGCCGGAATCACTGGATTACTGTGAGTTTTCCGCGCTGTATGGCCATGTTCTAAAAGCATTCTCTCCTGACGTTTCATCCATATCTATGGCAGGGATCCTCAGAGGACTTCACAACCTCTGAGGATGCCTGCCATAGATGTGGGTAAAACATCAGGAGACAATGCTTATGGAATATGGCCATACAGCCCGGAAAACTCACAGCAACCCAATCAATCAATCAATCAATCAATCAATCAAGGGCACTGACTATGTGCTATGCCAACTGGAACAAGACTGGCACAGTGCATGGCCAGTGCCACCCTTATTTACAGCTGCTACTAGCGTCCTCTGTGACAACAAAACACAGACACATAAGAATTCCTTATCACATGTTATGCATTTTCCAATATCCACATTCCCTTCCACAACCAGTATTCCTTATCTGAGTAGCTGCAAGGCTATTTAGTGCTAATCAAGCCAGATAATTGTAACGTTCACATTTGTCTCAAACAGACAAGAGTTCTTTCTCCCACCTGGACATTCCACAGATAGATAGATAGATAGATAGATAGATAGATAGATAGATAGATAGATAGATAGATAGATGGTCGAAGGCTTTCATGACTGGAATCACTGGATTGTTGTAGATTTTTCGGGCTATGTGGCCATGTTCTAGAAGCAGATATATAAACCCTATTTTCCTAGTTGCCAACAGACCTCACAACCTCTGAGGATGCCTGCCATAGATGCAGGTGAAACATCAGGAGAGAATGCTTCTAGAACATGGCCATATAGCCCGAAAAACCTACAATCAGATAGATAGATAGATAGATAGATAGATAGATAGATAGATAGATAGATAGACTCTCTCTCTCTCACACACACACACACACACACCACTTGCCTCATTCCTACAGGCCTCTGAACAAAGCTCTGGGGATGACTGCCATAGGTGCAGGCAAAATGTCAGGAGAGAATGCTACTCGAAATGGCTATACAGCCCATAAAACTCAGAGCAATTCTTTCCTTACCTGCTTTGTGCCAAGACATTAGCATGGTTCCTATGCTCTCCAACAGCAATGGTCTCAAAATATCCACTGGAAATCAAATCAATATATGACAGACCCCTCCTTTGCCTCTCTCTGCAGCCCAGCTCCAAAAACAGGAGTGAAGTATCAACCAAGCAACTTGTATTCTAGGTGGGTTACAGGGTATTCATGCTTCCATCTCAGGGCTGGACCTAGAGAGGGAGTTGCCCCTTTTGTTCAGCCTGCTTCTAGTCCTCCTCCGGCTCAACTTCCTCCTCCACTTTCTCTGGCCCTCGCCGGAGAGGAAATCACCAGGAATTGGCTGTTTGAGTCAACTCCTGCTGGCCCATTGTCATTGGCCTGTCCCCGTCTTCCTTCCTATCTACAAAGCGCTGGGAACAGGGAGAACGGGTCCTGGTGTGTTTAGTTTTCAGGCAACTGGGGGCTGTTTCTGAAAAATTGTTCCTGCACTCTTTTGACTTTGCAAACTTTTGGAAAACAGTTGAAAAACTATGAAGAACCAAATTAATTGGGGATTATGGAAAAACTCTCCCATCATTGCCCAGAGAGCTGCAGATCCCGATAACAAGGGAATGGAAACTGAAAATTGAGCACAACATCCATGTATTAAGTCTATACAGCAAGGTCCATAAGCAAAGGGTGGCTGCCACGTGTCCTGCCTTAAAGCAGTGTTTCTCAACCTGGGGGTCAGGAACTCTGGAGGGGTCGCAAGGGGGTGTCAGAGGGGTCACCAAAGACCATCAGAAAGCACAATACTTTCTGTTGGTCATGAGGGTTCTGTGTGGGAAGTTTGGCCCAATTCTATGGTTGGTGGAGTTCAGAATGCTCTTTGATTGTAGGTGAACTATAAATGCCAACAACTACAACTCCCAAATGTCAAGGTCTATTTTCCCCAAACTCCACCAGTGTTCACATTTCATCCATTACGCAAAGTAAGCGGTCGCAGTACACTTTTTTTTGCCAGGGGCGCAGAAGCACCTCTGAAATTGTCCCCCGACCACCACTTGAGGAGCGCCCCCCTCAGCTCACAACAGCCCTAGCAGTCCGGGGGAAGCCTCAGCAACCTATTACGCAAAGTAAGCATTTGCAGTATAGTTGATTGTACCCAGGGGCACTCTTGAGGCGCTCTTGGGGGAAAATAGACCTTGACATATGCGAGTTGTAGTTACTGGGATGTATAGTTCACCTACAATCAAAGAGCATTCTGAACTCCACCAATGATGGAATTGAACCAAATATGGCACACAGAACTCCCATTACGAACAGAAAATATATATCAGTGATTGGTTGGGGGGGGGGGGGGGGCCAAAATACTGTTTGCTTACCATTGAAAATTACCTAGGGCCGCCTCTGCCTGGATGTAGGTGAACTACAAGTCCAAAACTCAAGATCAATGCCCACCAAACCCTTACAGTTTTCTCTGTTGGTCATCGAAGTTCTGAGTGCTAAGTTTGGTTCAATTCCATTGATTGTGGTGTTCAGAATACTCTTTGTATGTGGACTATAAATCCCAGCAGCTACAACGCCCAAATGTCAAAATCAATCCCCCCCAACCCCCTAGTATTCAAACTCGGGCGTATTGGGTATTTGTGCCAAATTTGGTCAACTCAATAAAAATACACCAGAAACAGAGGTTGGATGGCCATCTGTCGGGGGTGATTTGAATGCAATTTTCCTGCTTCTTGGCAGGGGGTTGGGACTGGATGGCCTATGAGGTCTCTTTACATTACAATTGATAACAGTAGCAAAATTACAGTTATGAAGTAGCCATGAAAATGATTTTATCTTTGGGGGGGGGGTCACTACAACATAAAGAACTGTATTAAGGGGTCATGGCATTAGGAAGGTTGAGAAACACTGCCTGTTCGAAGCCATTTTGCAGAAGTATCGCAAAACCAAACAGTGCCTCTTAAAACAACTATGCAATGTTTTTTTCTCTCCATATGTAAAACGCGTATTTATAAAAACCCATTTTAAAATTCTTCTCAGCCTGTGCTCTAGAGATGTGAATAAAAAAAAGTCTAAATAGATACTGTACATAATGTAATGCTTTCATAATTGTGGTCTTACAATGCACCCTGAGCCTTGCCACATCCACAACGGAAGACCTCTGTATAGCAACACCAGAGGCACTCCAAAGGACATTTAATATAATGCCAAGTTTTTAAACTTTGTGGTTTTTAATACATTATAACTGTACCCTTGGTTTGCTTCTGATATGATAAATAAATAAATATTATTGTGGTCCAGGACACTGAGAGCATAGGATTCAGATCCCTGCACAACTAAGGGTTGACTGTACAAGCAACAGAAGGAATGCGTACACCATTAGGATGTTGTTTTGACAAATTTCAACATTTTTATCATAGACATTACGTTCTAGGTGCTGGAAAAGAAGTGGTGAAGTGTAATGTCAAAACTTTGCAGAGAAAAGAAGCAAGACTTGATCTTGAAAGGAAGCCTTAATGAAATCCTGGATTACCCGCCTTTCATATAATAAGGATTTCCTGCTTCGAAAAGGATGTGCCTTCCCAATTGTGTTGCATCAGATGCCCTTGAAAGTTTTTTTTTACTCAGTGTCTCTCTATCCTCCCTCCTCCTCCTTCTGCTGAAATGGATAAATACCTGCATTCTTGTGAGTATGAGGGTTTCATTCTCACTTTGATTTTCATACTAGGCTATTCAATTTTGCAAAACAGAGCTTGGAAATCATACTTTTTTTGGATGACTTCCAGAACCATGGCCATTGCCCATGCTGACTGGGGACTCTAAGCATTGTAATTAAAATATATTTGGGAATTCTGGGAGCTGCAATAACAATAATAAAAATGTTTTCTAATAGGCTCTGTTGCTGAACATAAGCTTGTGTTTGGATGGTCTCCTGAACAATATTTGACACCTCCAACAGGTAGCAGGTGATATAGGAGGGCTCATTCTACTCCTGTTGGCAGAATGGAAACACATTGACCCATATATGGATATGGATATGCAGGGGCGGCTCAACCCATTACGCAAAGTAAGCATTTGCAGTATAGTTGATTTTGCCCAGGGGCGCTCTTGAGGCGCTCTTGGGGGAAAATAAACCTTGACATATGCAAGTTGTAGTTACTGGGATGTATAGTTCACCTACAATCAAAGAGCATTCTGAACTGCACCAATGATGGAATTGAACCAAATATGGCACACAAAACTTCCACAACGAACAATTACCTAGGGCTGCCTCTGTGGATATGGATATGGATATGGATATAGGAACCCCCAGTGGCACAGTGGGTTAAACCTCGGAGATGCTGAATTTGTTGTCTGAAAGGTCGCAGGTTCGAATCTGGGGAGCAGGGTGAGCTCCCACTGTCAGCCCCAGCTTCTGCCAACCTAGCAGTTCGAAAACATGCAAATGTGAGTAGATCAATAGGTACCTCTCTGGCTGGAAGGTAACGGTGCTCCATGCAGTCATGCTGGCCATGTCACCTTGGAGGTGTCTATGTACAATGCTGGCTCTTCAGCTTAGAAATTGAGATGAGCACCAACCCCCAGAGTCGGACACGACTTGACTTAATGTCAGGGGGAAACATTTACCTATATATGGATAATACAATGCATTTCCATGCCTAGATGTTTCCATCACATGTAGAATATGTGGCGAGGTTTAGCACAGCAGGCTAAACCGACGTGCTGCAGAAAAATCCTGCCAATCGGAATGTCAGCAGTTCGAGCCCAGGTTGGGGTGAGCACCCGCCATTTAGCCCAGCCTACTTGCCCACCAAGCAGGTCGAAACCAGAAATGCAAGTAGATAAAAATAGGGGAGGTAATAAAGGCTCCCTTAAGGACATCAATTGAAGGAAAGCTCCTTGGCATGGAAGATGGAGCGACAGCACCCCTTGTGGCTGGATTCAAGCACACCCTCCAAGATGTTGGAAATAAGACAGGGAAAAAACTGCCTTTACCTCTGTTTGTGTTGTCTGTCCTTGTTAATTGTATAATTGACATTGAATGTTTGCCATCTGTGTGTTCTGTAAGCCGCTCTGAGTCCCCTTCTGGATCAGAAGGTCAGGGTATATATACTGTAAATCTATATAAATAAAAATGTAATGTTCGTTTGTGGGATTAACAGAACCCAAAAAACACTGAATGAATTGACACCAAATTTGGACACAAGACACCTAACAACCCAATGTATGTCCTTCACTCAAAAAATTGATTTTGTCATTTGGGAGTTGTAGTTGCTGGGATTTATAGTTCACCTACAATCAAGGAGCATTCTCAACCCTACCAACGAGAGAATTGAACTAAACTTGGCACACAGTTCTCCCATGACCAACAGAAAATACTGGAAGGGTTTGGTTTTGTCCTTTGGTTTTGGAGTTGTAGTTCACCTACATCCAGAGATCACTGTGGACTCAAACAATGATGGGCCTGGACCAAACTCTACATGAATACTCAATGTGCCCAAATATGAACACTGGTGGAGTTTGGGGAAAATAGAATCTTGACATTTGGGAGTTATAGTTCCTGGAATTTATAGTTCACCTACAATCACAGAGCATTCTGAACCCCACCAACGATAGAATTGGGCCAAACCTCCCACACAGAACCCCCATGTGGGCCACAGCAACGCGTGACAGGGGACAGCTAGTCTATATAAATAAAAATGTAATGTTCGTTTGTGGGATTAACATAACTCAAAAACCACTGGACGAATTGACGCCAAATTTGGACACATGACACCTCTCAGGCCAACAAGTGACCATCACTCATAAAAACACTGGAAAACACAACAGAAGAGACTTAAAAGCCAAAAACCAAAAATTACATTATAACACATGCGCAAAACCACACACACACACACACACATACACGCAAACACACATATACACAAATATATACACATACATATACACCCACAAAACACATATACACAGACTGGGTCACAGCAACACGTGGCAGGGGATGGCTAATAAATAAATAAAATAATAAATTGTGACTGCTAGACAGCAACGGCCACAAAATCACACAAAAGAAAGCCTGTAAATTGCACCAGTGCTCTGTGATTTGTGTAACTGCCATCCCAACCTCCAACTGGCTTCAGGATTTCCTCTGTAATCATCTGCAATACCAGTCTGAAACTGCAATAAATGGTAAGGGGGCTCGTCTACACTAGTATTCATGTCGTTTGACACCTCTCTAATTGCAGTGACTCAATGTGGCAGAATCCTGGGAGCTGTAGTTTGTGAGGATCTTTACTCTTTGGCAGGGAAGGCCCAAGACC